TTTGCCTGTTTGACACACTGGAAACTTTATGTTCTAAGACAATGTATGAAAGAAAGATTCTGGATGTATGAGAGGTGTGCCTGTCTGTTGTAAAGAAGTCTACATATGGAAGTTGTTGAGGTTCTAGAAATTAATTCCTATAAAATACTCTACCCCTCTTTCCTCATTGGAAAGTCCTCAGGTTCCCTAGGGGTATGACTACTCTTGTTTGAAGACTCCTTGACTAAATGACCTCCAAGGGCACTTGAACTCTGAGACTCTGTGAAGCTTTTTCATTACAGGTACACAAGAAGACTATGATCGTAGCTACTGCTGCCCCATTCAAGCACATCCACTCAGTCTTGGTTATTTTGTCTTACAAATGAAAGAACCTTCTCTCTGAAAAAGAGCCACCTGTTAAATTAGCTGTGGGACTAATGGATAAGTAGATGCACTTATTGACCCATCAGTGGGTACACATATCTTTTCAGTGAGAAAGATTGTAACACCTCAAAATAGAATATGGAGAAGCAACAAAGCAAAACCTGAAAGCCTAGAAGTCAGAACTTGATTACTATTTCCAAAGCTAACGCTCTTGGGCAAAGATGGTGTTTCGGAAAAACAGCTCCAGGATTAGTACCACTTAATGCTTACCAGCTCTCAAAGCATGTGTGCGCTGTTAAAACTACTAAGCCATTTATACCAGCAGGAGATAGGGTGAAGACCAGAGAGTAGATTCAGTCACATAAGCTTCAGAAAATAACAATAAACTTGTTAATAACAGTAAAGTATAATAATAGCCTTAGAAATGTGTGAACATAATGAGTCCAAATATGAATGATCTCATGTTTACTAACATGTTAGTGGGAAAAAAGACTACTACTCCATTGGATATGTTTTAAATAGCACCATGTGGAAATCAACCAAAAGACAAAAACTTATTGGGAAGCTATAGTAAATTATAACACAAAGAATATTTTGTTATAGTATCCGTGGCACACAAAACTGCCCATTACTTCCTAATAAATTATGTCCTAAAATTGAAAGCTAAGCAGATTCTCTGGTATCTTTCAGTGAGCTAACATACCTGATTTTATATGGAATAGACAAACTTAAAACCCAGTAATTTGAAATAAATATTTTTTAATAAAAAGCAAAGATTATATGGATGACTATAGTTCTGGAATTGTGCAGGCCCCGATTTGCATCTTGACTCAGCCATCACTTTAGGCATGTAATTTACTTCTTTGAGCCTTAATTTCCTCATCTCAAAATAATATCGACCTCACAGAGTTGTTTTGAAATTTAAAACAGGTAGTACAGGTGAAACTACCTGGCATGTTGTAGGTTCTCACTAAAGGTTAATTCCATTTCTCTTTTCCCCCCTCCTTAATCTTCTTGGTAAAATCTAATTTATGAGAAATTTAGGTTCTTGTGCAAAAGCTTCCAAAATGAAAAGTAGAACTTGATCTCAGGTATTTTAAAATTCCTGTGAATAACGAAAGATATTTGCTTAGATAGCAAGCAAAAGTAATCTCTCTATATTTTTTATCTTTTTATTTATATATTCTAATTTTGCTAAAATGAATATTTATTAATATCATAAGATACATATTTTAAATTTCAATGAATGATGCATGATTTATAGTCTGTGAGTTGATACCTGAAAAATTACAGTGATTACTATAACCCAATTCTGAACTTTTATTTTCAAGAACATTTTATATTAGTAAATTAGTTCAACAGAGATAGACCTGGTAGGTAAAGGACTGTTAACTGCCGTGATTATAGACATCAGGAAAAAAGAAAGGAAGTGAAACTGTAAATAATGACTTTTTCTTAAGCTTTCTTTTACAGCCCCGTCCTGCCTCCTACCTAGGTTATTGCAACTGTATCCCAGCTCATCTCTCCACTTCTGGGCTTCCCACACTACTGCACCTTAATGTCCTTGAGACAGTGATTTCGTGTCACCTTTTGCCCGATCAGAACCTTTAATGGGTCTCTGTTTAGGTGTAGCTGTCCTTTGCACCTGATGGTCATATGTCATTGTAGGATGCAGTAGTCCAGATAGAAAAGAATCCCAACACTTACTGATAACACACTCTCCCTCAAACTTCACACTTATCCATAAATGTGATTTGTTGTGAATTACTCTAGACCCTAATGGCCATAACCTGGATATCTACCATAAACATCTGTTCCTTACTAATCTTTTTTTTTTTTTTTTTTTCCTGGCTGCGTTGTCTTCGTTGGTGCGCGTGGGCTTTCTCTAGTTGCGGGGAGCGGGGACTACTCTTCATTGCAGTGCACAGGCTTCTCATTGCGGTGGCTTCTCTTGTTGCGGAGCACGGGCTCTAGGCATGCAGGCTTCAGTAGTTACAGCACATGAGCTCAGTAGTTGTGGCCTATGGGCTTAGTTGCTCCACGGCATGTGGGATCTTCCTGGACCAGGGCTCGAACCAGTGTACCCTGCATTGACAGGCGGATTCTTAACCACTGCGCCACCAGGGAAGCCCTCTTACTAATCTTGAATTGTTTCTCCTGATGACACACATGCGCACGCGCGCACACACACACACACACACACACACACTAAAACATATTAACAGATAAGTGCCTTTGTAGCATTGAAGTATAATTAACCCATGTTAAATCTATTTCAAGTACCTATTTTTAAAACATGCCATGAATTATATGCATAGTAACACAATGCCTATATATATTTATGTATATACATATATACCTACCTTCAAGAAAAGGGGTGGAATAATGCTCTTTGACAGAGTTGAAAATACAAAAAAGCTAGTGGGAAGCAGCTGCATAGCACAGGGAGATCAGCTCGGTGCTTTGTGACCACCTAGAGGGGTGGGATAGGGAGGGTGGAAGGGAGGGAGACGCAAGAGGGAAGAGATATGGGAACATATGTATATGTATAACTGATTCACTTTGTTATAAAGCAGAAACTAACACACCACTGTAAAAAATTATACTCCAATAAAGATGTAAAAAAAAAATAACACACACAAAAAACATTTTTTTAAAAAAGGAACATGAATTATAAAGACCAAATTCTTTAACCTGGTATTCAGGGGCCTCCACCATCTGATATCATTTTTCCTTTTCCAATCTTATCTTTCATTACTTCCGTGACAAACCCATTAATGTCTTCCATTCATTTAATACCTACTGAGAGCCAAGTGCTTTATATAGAATACCTCATGTAATCCTTATAGCAGTCCTGTGATTGCATTATTACTAGCCCCATTTTACAGGTGAGGTTTAGAATCAGAGGTTCAGTATATACCTTCAGGTCACACTGCTAGTTATTGACAGAGCTGGGATTCAAACCCACGTTTATCTGACTCCTGCCTTTCTTAACTTCTTTTCTAGCCAGATGGATGTCTCTGCTCACCATCACCCTAACACAGGTTCAGTTCCATTGCCATGTTTTTAGTTGATATTCACCCCAACTCAGAAACCTTAGCCTACTTGTCCTACAAAGTTTAGATCAGAACTTACCCCTTCTGTGAAATCTTTCCACCTCCAGCCTTCAGTGATACCACTTTGCTCTGACCTTTAACTATGTGTTGCTTTAGATGGTCATTTAATTTATTAGTTTTTAGGTGTTGTCTTCCCAACCAGGTAACTAGTTGCTTGATGGCAGAAGCCATCAAAGCCAGACTAATCTCTAAGATTCTATTCTCTAATTTATATTTCTTCTTGATACCCACAATTCTGTGTCCCTAGTAAACACTCAAAAATGAACTCAATGTTAAATTAATAATTCTTCATAGATGGAAGACTCTCCTCTGTCATTAAAATAAAATAGTTCACAACTCTCCAACTTGAAGTCATCTAAATTTTGGATTCACAACGTATCCGGTGTTGTAGAATAGATATTTTATAACATTATGTAATATCTGAATTAATATTCAGATCAGTGTTCTTAAAAAGACAAATTCAATACTGTCAACGTTGTGACTTTCAAAAAGATTGACTTGATAGAGGATAATCTGCCCACTTCCATTCTCTTCCTTTGCGTTCATGGACCCTTTCCATGGAATAAGAGACAGTGTGGTTTTGTGTCCATTTAAGGCAAATTGTAAAACCTTCTCTATCACTAACCCCCTCAGAATGAGGAAGAACCTTAATGAAGAGGGAAGGAGGCGGAGTCGTACCAAAAAAGAGGATTCTTGGATTTGTTTCCTAAAACTGGGAAGGAGATGGTCTCTAAGAGGGGTCAGAGATTCAGGGAGTGGAGACTCTGTTCTCAACACATTGAAAGGCATTGAGAGGGCTAACACACGTGCGCGGAAGGCTGAAGGTGACGTTGAGGTAAAGATCAGAAGGAAGAGAAGTTGTGGCAGCCTACGTTAAACACTTCGTGAGAATTTAAACTTACCCCTCCTCCATCCCTTCCCCTCATAACGTGCCCCCTGCCCCCTCTCAACTGCCCTTCAGGCATCTGAATCTTCATTCATTCTACTATATAGTTTGGAGGGAACTACATGAATCTGTGCCATTGACTGCTTTTGTTGTTTGCTTAAGGATTGATTTGGAAATCTCCATAATCCATTCTGCAATTTCCAATCCATTAATTTACACTTTGCAGGGTTATGGTATGTTTAGAATGACTGGTAAATACCAGACTTGGATTAATCTCTCCCAAGAAATAACAACACATATAATTTGTAAGATAATTATGTTTCAAGCGATCAAGAAAGACTGTAGGTGTGAAAACAGTTGCAGTAATAGGCATACCTTGGGAGGAAGTAAAGGGATGTTGACTTAAATATCTTAAAGGATGTGCTCAGTCAGAGTTGGTTGAACAATATCTAACAAAGAAAAACCTTTTAAAGGAAAAATTAGAAATAAATAAGAGCATTTCATTTATCAGAAGAAAATGAAATTTTTGAGCATTTAAATAAAAAGAATTTTTTGAAAGTCAGAAAGCTGTTCTGTTTTTTGGCTTTGTTTCTTCTTAATTTTTTGTTCTTTTTCAATGGATCTCTTACATTCAGGAAAATTGGGTGGATTTACACAAGAAAATAACACCATAGATTCCGGAGAACTTGATATTGGCCGAAGAGCAATTCAAGAGGTTCCTCCCGGGATCTTCTGGAGATCACAGCTCTTTATTGATCAGCCACAGTTTCTTAAATTCAATATCTCTCTTCAGAAAGATGCGCTGATTGGAGTATATGGCCGAAAAGGCTTACCACCTTCCCATACTCAGGTAGGCTCTGTTACCAATAAAATGAAAACTGCTAGTTTACATTTTTAAAGTCATTCTGTTTCTTAAGTTCAGCTGTTTAACTGTTTGACCACTTCTGTGTTGATCTTTTACAGTGAAAAGAATTTTGAGTATAGGTGACACTTATCTTGAGATTTTTGAATTAGTAGGAAGAACAGCATTTTCTTCCTGACTTGCTTTAATCATTATTGATTGATTAAAATGTGCAGAATTTGTGAGTAACCTGATGAATATTGAATAGCATCTGAGAACGTAGTAAAACACCATAGATTTTCCAAGTGTTTTAGAAAGATTCTATGATCATTTCCAAAGATCATACTCCTTTCATGTAATAGATGCATGACATTTTCATCTCAAACATGTGTTCATTCTGTTGAAAATATATTATATACCTTTTACTTTATGTCAGATTTACTCTTTGTAAAGAAATTATGGGAACATAAACAGAAATATCATGATATAAACTTTATCAACTCAAGCCATGATTCCTAGTCTACATATGATGAACACTGAAATACAGAGATAAAAGAGCTTTCATAGGTCACCAAGGATGATCACAAAACAATTCAAATGCCCCTATATCGTAGATTCAAAGAACTTTAAAGTCAATTTGCTTTCATGAAAACCACCTCACAACTGTCACAGATCGATAATCCCACAGATTTTTCATAGTCTAATATTGGCTCACGGTGTATAAATTGGAAATTGTGGTTTAAAGAGGTCCCATTATGTCTAAGAGAAATTACTTAAATTACCTACCACAAAATTGGAGCCCGGACTTTTCCCCAAAACAGGAATTGCAAAAAATGTAATAGATGGTTAATTAAAATTGACAATTAGATGAGCTTAAAGTTATGCTTGAAAATCAGTTTATTTACTCATAGAATTTCATGCCGATTTTAATTGGATTTATCAAATGAGGACCAGAGGATTTTCATGTATGCTTTATATTATGTAATTTTGTGAGAAATGCTTTTTCTATAACCTCGGAATATAAATTATAAAGAAAAATTGATCCCTATACTAATAAAAATAATATCTTTAAAAAAAAGATGAGTAAGAAAATTTGAACGTGCTCTCTCTAATGTCATGGATCAGGGCAAGTTTCATATACGTACATAAATTATACAGCTGTAAATTTTTTGAATGTCATGCTTTGGTGTATTCATTTTTCTGATTTAACGTTTTTCATATCTACATTGTTAAAGTAATTCCTTTAATGTTTACATGTCAACTTCCTCTTACTGTGTACTGGGGTCCAATTTTAAATTTTAGATTACAATTGCATTTGACTCTAGTTAATGTTATAGGTGACACTGACTAAGATGTAATAACCGGATTTTCTTAAGTGGAAGTGGCCCTCTCTGACTTCAGTTATAGCAGATAGATTGCATTTAGTAGAGCAGTAGTCCAGTGAAATAGGAAAAAACATTTTTTTCCCACTGGAATCACATACATGATTAAATTATTTTTGTATAACTCAAGAAACATACCTCTAAACTAAGTACAATAGCGAGCTTGTAACCTAAAAATTCCAAAAATTAATTTCAGAAAACATTCTCTAATGCATTGGCACTTTAAAGGTTTATTTGAAGATTTAGGGTTGACTTATTGGAGGTTATATATACCATATAAGACTAGGGAATAAAAGGTGTAGCTTCAGGTTTTCTTATAATTCTTCTGGTATTTGAGCACAATATACGTGATAGCCACTCTTCTTTTCTCCCACAATATATGTGTTTAAGTAGTTATGCATTTTCTTAAGCTCCACAGTTATTAGAGTTCCTTCCTGCAGTTTATTCAGAATCAGCAGAGCAGACAGCTGTTTCTGAGTTCAGTGTTTAAACATGAAATATGCTGTAAAACAGCCCAAATTGAACATTTCTCTGTTTCTGGGGAACGTTAAATAAATCAACCTGAAATAATTAAAACTGGCCAAGCATACAGAATAATCCCTTGAGTTTTGAAAGTCTTTGTGACCCTCTGTAAACCCTTTGTAAAACTGTCCATATGATTGTTACCAAGGAATCGACTGACTTCCTTCTCCCTGATGCTCAATTCATTCTCCTGGACAGTTAGAAGCCTAAGGAAGCAAGTTAACGCTTTACGGTTAATAGCGTACTGTATCCTTTAAGTGCATCTGCATCAAGGCTATTTTAGAATAGGAGTCGGAAACCTGGGTTCTTGAGCACACACCCCTGCCACTTTCTGACCTTGTGACCTTGCACAAGTCTAACTTCCTTGTGCCTCAGTGTCTATCTGTAAAATGAAGGAGTTGCATCAGGTGATCTTTAAAATCACTCCCTCCTCTATGTCAATGATTTGCAGCAAGAATCTACCACCACCAAAGAGTTGATTTAAGAGCACAGTTAGGTATTCATAGATTCTGCGTTCTCATCATTTTGATAACTGAAATGAGTTAAGAATATGGAAAATCTGTTCAGAAACGAACCACCAAGATACCTTTATCAGGTATAAGCTTTGTCTCATGATTGCTCCTCCAAAGTGGTGAGGCTGAATTTTGTCCTAAAAATAGCATAAGATTCTAAGACTTGCTGCGCAGAAGAATCCAGAGGAATCTTATGAATAGGTATCACAGAGCAAAACTCTCGGATTTGCCCACAAGCGATTACTTTACACCCTGAGAACAAAGGTTATTAAATTTCTGCCCCACATAGTTTGTTTCCTTTTCGTGGAGACAGCTTCAGTGTTAGATAGGGGGCGTGTCTTTAGGTATTTGAGTGCCCTCCTGAAGTTGTGTGTGAAATGCCCCCCGAAGGGCCTCGAACTGGGCAGAGAAGGGCCTCGAACTGGGCAGAGACTCAACAACCGTCAGCTGCTCCCCGCCCAGCCCCCCTTTACTGTTCACACTGTGATGACAAACAATGAGCCCTATGATAAAGGTGACAATTAATAGGGTTTGTTAGGAGAAAAAAGTGTTTATGTGCAACGGGACCATAAAAAGAAACTTTTTCTTGTCTTTTTGCCATGCTAATGCAAGTATTTAAATCTGATGAGAAAATGAATGGCTTATTTGAGGCAGAGGCACCTTTCAAATGTGCTGAATTAATTTCCTCTGATAATTTCGGAACAGAATCCCAGTGAAATTTTGCAGTTCAGATATCCATACCAGTCATTATTTTCATCCTCATACGCTGTAGATGAAAAAGTGTTTGAATGCTAATTACGTTGTGGCTTTTTTTTATATTTCTCACAGCTAAATGATGTTATAATGCAGTTTGACTACACCAAACAATAACAAAAAAAAAGCTTTTAAATTTAAAATTTAGTATGTCGGAAGCTGAATTAGATATTCTAAATTCTGTCCAATAGTAACAGTAAGAGGTCTGTGTACAGTGGCAATGTATTTAACTGTGATTCTTAGAATCCCACAACTGATTTTTTTTCAATTTGATTGTATTAAGGGATTCAGTATAAATAACCTTTCCTTAGGAAAGATGTGTGATGAAATTCCATTTAAGCAGTCTATCAGAAAGTAGAATATTGATGATTCACATGTGTAGTGCTTTAGCATTAATGATTTATATTTATAGTGCTGTAGTGTACTTTTCACCATAAATACATACCTCAGGAATAAAATGAAACTGGGTAAGAGTCTATAGACACTATTTAAGAAACTATTGTCTAACAAGTTTATTAAAACTGTGTTGGAAAGTCTTTGCAGTGTCTTCCGAATTCACTGAATTATCTCTGGCTACAAAATTTTACCCCACTATTACCAGTCACATTCCATTTTTTTTCCTATTTATTTATTTAGTTATTTGCTTGTTTATTTATGGCTGCGTTGGGTCTTCGTTGCTGTGCACGGGCTTTTCTCTAGTTGCGGCAAGCGGAGGCTACTCTTCGTTGCGGTGCGCGGGCTTCTCATTGCGGTGGCTTCTCTTGTGGAGCATGGACTCTAGGCGCACAGGCTCAGTAGTTGTGGTTTGCGGGCTCAGTAGTTGTGGCTCACGGGCTCTAGAGTGCAGGCTCAGTAGTTGTGGCGCATGGGCTTAGTTGCTCCGCGGCATCTGGGATCTTCCTGGACCAGGGATCAAACCCGTGTCCCCTGCATTGGCAGACAGATTCTTAACCACTGTGCCACCAGGGAAGTCCCCATATTTTTTAAAATTATCTTCAAATTCTCCACTTACATTCTTCCAACTACCCAATGTTCATGATTAATCTTGCTAAAACAAAAATTAAGTTTAATGATGGTTGACTTCATGATCATAATTGGGCTGGCCATCCCTTCAAAATTCCTCCATTGTTTAATTTTTTAGACTTTTGATCAAAGATGTAAAGGCATTTTGTTATATGTTTTTGATCTAACTGTAACTAAGTAAAAATCCATGGCTTTCTCCATGATGCTCGGAATGATTACATCAGGGTCACAGAGAGGGGTGGAGTTGGGGTAACGGGAACAGCCCAAGCTTTGGAGCAAAGCGCACTGGAGTTCACATACCACCTGCGCCAATGACCAGATATCTGACCCTGCTCGAGCTTCTCCAGCTTCAGTTTCCTTCATCTTTGAAGTGTAAATATTAATGCCTTCCTAGAAGTGTTGCTAGGAGGATTAAAAATAATCCTGGCACAAAGTAATTATTCAGTAGCAGTGGTTACTACTTGAGTATTAAATAGGAGAAGATCTTAAGAGATCATCTAATGGTCTAACTAAAATAGAGCTGCTGGGTTTGGAATAGTATAGGTTTATGGTTGTATCCCCAAACTGCCTAAACTCACAAACTTAAAAAAAAAATTTTCATAATTTTATTGAAGTATAGTTGATTGACAATGTTGTGTTAATTTCCGCTGTACATCAAAGTTATACATATATATTCTTTTTCATATTCTTTTACATTATGGTTTATTACAGGATACTGAATATAGCTATACAGCAGGACCTTGTTGTTTATCCATCCTATATATAATAGTTTACATCTGCTCATCCCAAACTCCCAATCTATCCCTGCCCCAACCCCCCTCCGTCTCTAGGCAACCACAAGTCTGTTCTGTAAACTCACAAACTTTTTATCAGTCAGAAGAATTAAATAAGTTTGGAAACCGTATTGCGCATCAAGGGAAGAAATGGTCTGTGATGTTTAAATACAACAATGGTATTCGGTGTGCAGTGGGTAATCTCCATCACCCCTGTAAGTGCGATGCCTAGAAGACCTGTCAATCAGGAACTTTTTTCTACCATTGTGTTTATTAGAGCAAAGGAGAAAAGTTTGGAAAGGAAAGAGAGGAGCGGCCACAACCGTTCTCCTTCCGACTACTCAACAGTTCTCCTTTTCCTCATTCTCAGTACGACTTTGTGGAACTGCTGGATGGCAGCAGGCTGATTGCACGAGAGCAACGGAACCTGCTTGAGTCCGAAAGAGCCGGGCGACAGGCGAGGTCCGTCAGTCTCCACGAGGCCGGCTTTATCCAGTACTTGGATTCTGGAATCTGGCATCTGGCTTTTTATAATGATGGGAAAAGTGCAGAGCAGGTGTCGTTCAATACCATTGTGATAGGTAAGAACTGTCTTCAAAGCATCACTTCCGGGCTTCCGGCCTCAACACTGTGTTGCATAGAAATGCAACTGTCTTCACCAATTTGAGTGATCCCTAGGATGTTAGAGCCTGAGGTAAAAGTGAGAAATATTTTTTAAATTGTTTATGACTGTGTGACAAACCGTGAAGCACTGGAAGACAGTAGCACTTGGAAGTAGCTTGGAGGAGGACAGTGCATCGCGAAAACGCTTTAAAACGTCTGCATTTGAAATGTCAGTGTTTTGCTTTACTATTCGAATAATCTGGTATGAATGAATACTTTTGGGGGGTTATGGAGCAAGCCACCCATGCTTCCTTCAAGATGTAGCTAAAATGATCGAAGTGACACAGTTTACCCTGCACGAGAGGCAGGCTGCACAGCAAGGACTGCTTCTTTCTCTTTTCTTCAGAGTCTGTGGTGGAATGCCCCCGGAATTGCCATGGAAATGGAGAGTGTGTTTCTGGAACTTGCCATTGTTTTCCAGGATTTCTAGGTCCGGATTGTTCAAGAGGTATGCGACTTAGATTCTTTTCTTAAGCCAATATAAATAAGCTGTAGAAACACGAGCAATTCAGAAAGCTCTCAAGACAGGAAAGAAAAGAGGGGAGAAATGGCAGATTGCTTGTTCCAACGATGTGCCTGTTCTTGGAGAATCTCGATGGGAAACGTGGCTGTTAATTCCTAATTCCTCTGTCGTGTTTTATTTCACAGCAGCCTGTCCAGTGCTGTGTAGTGGCAACGGCCAGTACTCCAAGGGCCGCTGCCTCTGTTTCAGTGGCTGGAAGGGCACCGAGTGTGATGTACCAAATACGCAGTGTATCGACCCGCAGTGCGGGGGTCGTGGGATTTGCATCGTGGGCTCTTGTGTTTGCAACTCTGGATACAAAGGAGAGAACTGTGAAGAAGGTAAACATGTCAAACCTTGCAGAGGTTTGTCGTTATAGCTTCATAAAGAAACAGCTTGTATGTCTAACCTTAGTTTGGCAGATGAATCTTTTTATATGCCTCCTTCTGAAAGTAATTTTGATTTTGCATTGCTTCATGAACATTTTATCTAATAAAAAGAAGAAAATACCGAGGAGTCCTTTAGCTCTCTCTCAATTGTGTGAATAATTTTTTTTTTTTTACTCTGAGAAAGTACACAAACATTTTTGTCTTAGAACCAAAGGTGAACCGTTGAATTCTTTTTTTTTGCAGTTTTTCACCTTGATGCCAGCTTCTAAATCTAGCATTTTGGCCTCTCTAGAAAGACAGAATATTGAACATAGTATACTGATGGAGAAAAACACATCATGGGTTTGTGCCATAACTGTATAGAATGTTGATAGTCAAGATGCTATACTGTAAAGTGCAGTTGAACTGTTTTTTCAAAAAGCAGAAAAGCACCATTTCCGTTCTTCAGTCAAATGGATTTTATTGATCTGCACACACAAAGTGATGCAATTAAGTCTCTGGAATTAAATTTTCAGGCCATTGACCCTACAAGTGTAAAGTTTTATTGAGTCAAATTGCTAAATTAAATCTCGTCACCTAAAGCACATTAAAGTGAATTAAGAGAGATGGAGAGTCTGCAACTCATTTATTTCTCAAACATTTGAGGGTCCCATACAGCTGTCAGTATTCAGCGGTTATGGATTAGGTCAGCTGATTCAGATTTTGTTATAGAGAAGCCAATACTTATTACTCTCTGATTGGGCAGAACGGAAAGCAATCGTCTGAAACCTCAAGAGCAGAAGTGTGTAATTCACTAGAATTACAAATCCTTGCAAGAGTCTCAGTTACCTAAATGGCATGGTTCTTAATGTTTTATTGTATACATTCTCTGCATTTTTCAGAAACAAGTTCTTGCAAATAAACAGTGGGTAAACATTTGAGTATCCAAAGTGTTCAGGTAAATTAGATTGAGGTGTAATTCTTTGTTCCATATGTACTTGTGTATATCTTCTAGATTTGACCATAAATTTGTTCTCTTTTCTCTCCACTAGCTGATTGTCTAGACCCTGGATGTTCTAATCATGGTGTGTGTATCCATGGGGAATGTCACTGCAATCCAGGATGGGGTGGTAACAATTGTGAAATACTCAAGACCATGTGTCCAGACCAGTGCTCTGGTCATGGAACATATCTTCAAGAAAGGGGCTCCTGCACTTGTGACCCTAATTGGACTGGCCCAGACTGCTCAAATGGTGAGGTTCACACATGCCATACGATTGAGCGCTTAATATTGTTTAGCTACAGGTTACGACATTTTAATTTTTAAAACACACTTATTATACTTAATACAGATTTTATTAAAGTGAACATTTATAGAAATAAATATTAAAGTAATGAAATTTGTTATCTTATAATATGGAAAGAAACAGGCTTAGTCAATTTGTCATTAAATTTCTCCTTCAGTATTAATGTAAAGAAGAATCTTTCACTTGTGTAAAGCTCTCTCTCTTCTTAACTCTGAAGGCCTGTGTACAGCTTGGAGATTTAAGCACATTATCTCATAAACAGAGAAGCTTCAATTAAAAAATTATGTGACAACAGAAGACTTAATATTATCACAATAAAGAGTAAACATATATAGATATTATGGTGTACATAATGGTTCAACACTGAGTTTTTAATTGTAACTGTATGATTATAATAGAAATGACAGGTAGTAATTTTATCCAATCAGTCACGTTGTTTTTGAGCGCCAGCTCTGTGCATGGCTTTGTGATAAGACACTGCAGGGATAAAAGAGTGTCAGTCATCCCTGCCCTGTAGAATACTGGCTTTCAAGTTTTTGACCATGACCTAAATAACGTGTGGTCTTAAATACATTTTTACATTGTGACCTCATATACATATATGTGCATATACTCACATCACTGAAACAAAAGGTTTACAAAGTGATATACACTGATACTTTCTCCCAAGTCTATTCTACTTTTTTTAATGCCGGTTGCAACCCATGAATTAATTCCATGACCCACTCGTTAGTCGTACAGTTTGAAAAGATGCTGTTCTAGTCTAGATTACAGTTTAATTGGGGAGATGAGATAAACGTACATGACATACTTAGAAACCAGTGTGTTCCAGTATAATATTCTATTGAGTTACGTGGACTAATGTGCTAAAGTCAGTCAGGATTTAGATCCTGCCTTGATGCCTACTGAAAGTTGTCACGGAGATTTGTAACATTTCTTGCCTCCTTTTAAAGATTGTAGTTAGTGTGGAGGTTGAGGGAATATTTTTTGACTAGGGGAACAGTATTAGAAAGTACTTACGAGCGTGGATTCTGAAATCCGATGTTTGGGTTCATATTCAATCTGTACTACTTGATACCTGTATTCCCTAGGGAAATTACTGTATGCTTCAGTTTGCTCATCTATAAAATGGATTTAAGCATAAGACATTCTTTCCAGAGATGCTGCTGTGGGAATTGCTTGAATTGATGCATGTGAAGTAAATACTTAGTACAAAGCTTAGCCCATGATAAATTCTAAATACAGCTGCCACCACCTTTACTACTACTGCTGCTGCTGCTACCATTACCAAAGACACGACTGTGAGAATCTCACTACATACAGGGGACAGTGATGACAGAGTATTTGGAGGTAAAAACTGAGTTGGGCCCAATTATGAGGGACACATTAGACAATGGAGAATTCACTAACAATAATGATGCCCTTGATACGACGAGAACAGTGGTCCAGAACTACCCCGTGGATCAGACGTCAGAGAGAACGGTGAAACCTGAACACTAGAAGACACCGTGGCGGGCTTTCCCAGAAGGCACCATGGGGGCTTTCCCAGAAGGCACCGTGGCGGCTTTCCCAGAAGGCACCGTGGCGGGCTTTCCCAGAAGGCACCGTGGCGGGCTTTCCCAGAAGGGCGAAGGGATGAGAGCACAGTCCCTTGGAGTTAGTGGAAATGAAAAGGATAAACTGAGGGACGTTTAAAGGCAAAACAGACAGGACTTGCTGAAAAAACGGAACATAAAATAGGGTGAGAAGAGCTGGAAGTCTGAGGCAAGGGAGATTGGGGTTGGTGTTCATGTCTCTGAAAGAGGCGAGAAAGTTGGGAAGAGGTGAGAATCACCAAGTCGGCAGAACGCAGGCGCGGCAGTGGGAGGCGAGTGAGAGGTAGAGACGGTGACGACTTCTGTTTGGACCAACTGAGCAAAAATAAATTAAAAAGCAGGAAAAGAAGAGAAGGAAGAATGAGGACAAGAGAAGAAGGAGGAGGAAAAGGAAAAGCAGAGGAGGATAAACAGAAGGGGGGGGCGAAGGACAGATTTTATGAGCAGTGTCAGGTACATAAAAATATCATGCAGAAGCCTTGGATTCAGACAATCCTTGTCTACTCTTAACCCTGCCCACACCTATTGCCCTCTGAACACCTGCTGTTTAACAGTAAGTGGTTAAGAAACAGGGATTCTGCAGCTGACCTGCCTGGGTTCAGATCTAGGACTGGCTATTTCCTAGCTGTGTGATGTTGGACAAGTTATGTAACTTCTGTGCCTCCGTGTATCTGTAAAATGGGAATACTAATAGTGCCACCTTATATACAATTGTTGTAAGGCGTAAATGACTTAGTATGTGAAAAGCACTTATGATAGGGCTTTATGCGTAGTAAGTACTCCGTAAGTGTTAGCCATTAAGAAGGACTGGTGGTGGCATTGGTAATAGTTATGGTGGTCGAATTCCAAAGGCTAATTGTAGGTCATCATACTTAATTCCTCATCAATTCAGAGGCGCTTCCACATAAAAGTATTGATTGGATATAGTTCCCCAAATGTGAAATTTATGAAATGAAACTAATATAATCTGTTAACCTAATGGCATAAGCCTAAATGAAATCTTGCCAGTAGCTAATTAACATGCTTATTTTAAGGGAGGAAAAAAAGACTCATAGTTTTTACAAATCACTCTTTGTTGGCATTTTGAGGAACTTGGGTAACAGGTTTGCTGCCCTATGCGTCAATATCGGCATGAAAGATTCATGGGCCGCTCTTCACCTATTATACGTTGAATCTCGGAAGCCCAAACTAAAGAAAGTCTTATATAGGCTAATTTGTGGTATTGATGGAAAACTTCTGCCGACCCCGTAAGTAGATATCCTAGTTGGAGAAACAGTTCATGAGTTTTCTTCCTGCTCCCCCCCTCACGTTTCTTTTTCCTCCTTTCTTTTCTTCCCCTCTCTCGTCCCCTCTCCTCCCTTCCCCTTTTCTCTTTCTTCCGCCCCTCCTTTTCCTCTGCTTCCCTCATCTGTGGCCATACATTGTTGGAGGCAACCAGGGTTTACAGTTGCTTAGTATTGCTTCACAGAAATGTGAGTTGATTCAGAGAGCTTGGAAAACCAGAGACTGTGGTTAGAAAATGCAAATGCGTGACTGTTAGAGTTGGCAAGGAGTATAGGATACATAAGTAAAAACCCACACTGGGGCCGGCACTATAGAGGGCCTTGAGTATCTCACTGAAGAGTTTTAAGAAATCATCACCAGCCAAGGTTTATCAAGCATGGGCACATGGCATTGTTTCAAATAACACACGGGGCTTCCCTGGTGGCGCAGTGGTTAAGAATCCGCCTGCCAAGGCAGGGGACACGGGTTCGAGCCCTGGTCTGGGAGGATCCCACATGCCACGGAGCAACTAGGCCCGTGAGGCACAACTACTCAGCCTGTGCTCTAGAGCCCGCGAGCCACAACTACTGAGCCCGTTTGCCACAACTACTGAAGCCCATGAGCCTACAGCCTGTGCTCCACAACAAGAGAAGCCACCGCAATGAGAAGCCCGCGCACCCCAACGAAGAGTAGCCCCTGCTCGCCGGAACTAGAGAAAGCCCACGCGTAGCAACGAAGACCCAACGCAGCCAAAAATAAGTAAATAAATTACACATTAACTCATTTTGTCCTCCACTTAAAAAATATAATTACAAGAGCAAAATAGGCATTTAGCTCTTTCTTTTGAGTTTTTATTTACATTTCCAGCTTCTATATTAAAGATGTAAAACTCCAATTAAAGTTTATAGATATTACTTGTATACAGTTACTTGATTCGGGCCTCTTACACCTCCATCAGTGAAACAGGCATAATAATACTAGCTATAAAACAATACTTGTTTGAAATATTGTCATTCTAGTTTGTTTCCCACAGTTATCCAAGTAGGCAAGGAATAATGAAATAGCCCCTTTTTTGTGTTCTGTATAAAGTTACTTAATACATTACCAGAATTATTTTATAAACGATGGTTTGTAATTGATATTAAATAGCTCAGAAGTTAATTTGGGCTTCTTCATAAAATGGTATTGCTATAAATAGCAAAAAAAAAGGATATAAATGTTAATTAACAGATTAAATTGGTTGCCAAAATTACATATCACTTTTACATATTTAGACTGATTTTTTTCATACTGATGTAATTATTTTGCTAGCTGAAAATCTAATTTTACCTGTATACAAAATGACCACTTAGACATAATGAGTGAAGGTCTTCATCCTATTCATCTTTAAATCCCTAATACAAAATACACACTTAACACATGTTAACCTCTCAATATAGAGAGTTGAATGATGAACACAGTATGCTTCTTTGGGAGAAAGTAATTAAGCACAGGAAAAAACTTCATTAAACTTTGCTATTTGCTGCCAAAAGACAGAAAACTTACTTAGAATTACTAGTAAAGACCTCAAATACGCATCTAGTCATCCTGTGAAAACATCTGGGTTCACCTGCCTCCAATTTGTCTGCAATTCTCATTGAAAGTTTACAAAAACACCGTTGTTAATTTCCATTTGTGACTTAAAAGTTTACTTGCAGTAGAATTTGGAATTTCTAACCTATTGAATCCTAAAGCAAAACACTTTACCAGCTGCCTCTTTTGTTGTTGTGGAAATGACCTTCAGAGATCTAAATTCAATAGGAGAGTAGATTTTACACCTGAAGAAACATTTGGTTAAGCTGCTGAAAGAGAAGAAATGAATTATTTCCATCAGAAAGTTTATAGGTTTGAAAGCAACAGAGGTTTCCTCTCTCTTCAGCAGCAGTTTGTCCATTAATTAGCCCTTCAATTCCACTTCAATTAAATTAACTCTAATTAATAAGTTCATTACAAAGATTGACGCACCTTGCTCAAAGCGAGTGTGCTAATCGCTGCTAAACACCTTCACCCTAATGAAAAATTGATTCGATTGAATAAAAAAGGGAACTTCAGAAAGAAACCTCACTCTTCTGAGCTGAGGTGACGTTCTGTTCCTCTGAAGTTAATCAAACCATCTTGGATCTTTTAATCAAAAATTTAATTCAAAGGAGATAGAAAACGTGGCATGAAAAAAACCACATACCACTCTCCTCCAGTTCATAGTCCTGGCTCTTGTTTACAACTCTCACTGAGCCTGGATGTGGTGTCTAAAAGTCTTCAGCCCTGTGAATTCCAGTGTCTGAGAAACGTTTTATTTGGTCAATGAAAGGGGGACATGTGATCATGTGACTACATAAACAGTGATTATTTCTTAATTTTAAAATTCAGCTGTAGTCGTTTTCTGTCTGTCAGAAACGATCTCAGGTTTTTACTGTTGAAAGAAAACCAAAACTAAACAGTAGTCTTCCAATCTTAAGAAAAAAGCTCATTTTATTTCACTTTATATGTGAAGAGTGAAAAATAAAATAACCCTCAAAGTTCTGTCTGTCTGTCTGTCTCTCTCAATTGGTTCTAGTCAAATAAAGCTTCTAAGAAAGTTTTTTAAGAAAAAAATTATTTCGGACGCCTGAATGCTATTTTAACAACCTAACCTGTTGTTACCGTTCTTAAAGTCCTTTGGTCACTTGTGCCCTTTTCGGTAATTCTAGTAATTGAAAATCCTTGCTTTGCAAATGCCAGAGCCGGCAGTTCTATATATTATTAAACCGGCTTTCTACTATGGTTTTGCTTAGCAGCTTTTATCTGTCAACTGTACAAATATACTTAATAGGAAAAACAACAGCTTCTTTTATTTAACCAGCACGTCTCTGTGTCAGGAGCAAGCTAAAGTGCGTACTAAAGTAGATTCTTTTTTTTTTTTTACGCTTTTTTTTTATAAAAGATTCTTTTCAGTGGCAGTTTCTGAATATTTAAAAAAATTAAACCATAGGATTAAAAATAATCCCTTTTCAGTTTTTGCTGTATGGGTGAAACCTAACTCCTGTTAGATACCTGACATACACAGACACTTAAATATTTCGTAAATTTTATATCAATTTGATGTATGTGTGCCTGTGTTCCTGGCTGTCGAAAGATACTCCTGGAAACAGGTATGTCAGGTATGTGTGCGTACAGTTTCCTCTCCTTATGAATCATTTGTTCTGTTTTGTTAGTAGCGTGTGTGTGTGTGTAAGCACATATATAATACAGAAAATTGTTTATAACATAACTACCATGTGCATTTTACGCCCAATCGTGGCAGCATATAAAATGGAACAAAGAAAGCAAACTACGTCTGTCGCTTCTAGCCCTCGATGCTGCCATCTACTTAGTAGGTAAATGCTTTCGTACGTATGCTCAGCGACTTTGTTCTTCACCTTGTTGACGCGCGGAGTTTGAGACGAAGCGCTTCTCCCTCGCTCCCCGTCTCACTCGCCGCTGCTCTCCTCTCCTGCCCGGCTTCCTCTCTTTCTCCCCCCAGAGATCTGTTCCGCGGACTGCGGCTCGCACGGCGTCTGCATGGGGGGCGCCTGCCGCTGTGAAGAAGGCTGGACGGGCCCAGCGTGCAGTCAGAGAGCCTGCCACCCGCGCTGCGCCGAGCACGGCACCTGCAGGGACGGCAAGTGTGAATGCAGCCAGGGCTGGAACGGCGAGCACTGCACCATCGGTAGGCCGGCCGCGCCCCGCCCCGCCCCCAGAGCGCCCCGCCCCGCCCCCAGGGCCTGCTTCTCACCTCGGGAAAGCTCCTTCCCCCCACCCGTTACCTTTTCCTGTCCTGTGTTCAGAAGGAGTGGCCGCTAAGGAAGGGTCTCAGGTCCCAACGGCAGCCCAGTTCTTTTTACAGCCGCTGCCTCAAGTATCGAGTGTAAGAATGTTCTGTGCATGGTGCTGGGGGACGGCCGCCGAGACTGACTCGCATAAGGCTGATTTCGCCGTGTAACGGCAGTATTCTTTACTTGAAGAAAGAGATTCCCAGTATGTAGCCTTTGGGGCTCCTGTAGATTCCAGAATCACACATCTTAGCACCTGTCCATCTGTTTGCGTCTCTGAAAGGAGGCTGGAGTCTTTATGACTTTATCCTGTAGCACCATGAGGAAGGAAGCAGAATACAATACACCCATCTAGCTTTTCCACAACAGTTTTATATGCTTAACACTTCTTAAAATACGGTGATGTTCTAGCACGTCTGTTGGTTAAATAAGACAAATAGGTGTTTAAGATCAAACTCTTAGTATATAAATGGTATTTCGCCTGGATACAGAAGCACCCGGAACATACATACTAGTTCCATATTTTCAAGGTCTTCAGTGCCTTTGCTTTCACCGTTTGAGTCACTGAAATGAAAACGTCTATTTAAAGAAAATACAACAAAAGTAAGTAATACAGTGCTACCTCACTTCAGTGAAAATGTACAATATTAATTAGAAATGGCACAGTCCTACAAAAATCTCATAATTTGAGGAATGGTTTTTCTCCACATTTATGTCTGTAGGGTAAGATTGGACAGAGCTGTTGGTGGAGTCTTGACATAGTGACGGATTTCTTCTTCCAGTGCATCTCTAAGTTTATGTACTTTAAAAAAAAAAAAACGCATTGGTTAGCCAAGATTTTTTTTCACAGGAAAATTGAAATCACTTACATTTTATAAGCTGTCACAAATGGCATCTCTGCAGAATTTCCAGGAAGGCTCTTTTCAAATCATCTGTTTCAGGGGTCCCACTATCACCCCCCCCCCCCCCACCGACATGTGGTGATCCGCTGGAAGGGCCCTCTCGGCACAGTTGTGCTCAGGGCTATAGACGTTTCCAGAAAGGGGAAAGACTCATCAGGTGGTGTCTGCAGGAATCCACGTCCAGGTTTTCCAGGCTCCTTGTCTCCCACCAGGAGAGGTCACAAGAACCATGCCCCTTTCTCCAGCAGGGAAATGCAGCAACATATGTGCAGTGTTTCCGCCCGTTTGAGGTTGAGAGTTAAAAGGTTTTTATTGGGGCTGCTCAGCGAGGTAGCCTGTGTCAGCCACAGCCATGAAAATTCCAGGCTCTCCAAAGAAGAGCAGATGTTCAGTGCTGCAGGTGCGCAAAATAACCTCATCAGTGTAGGGAACTCCACCTTTCCAGATGCTGGCCAAGGGCCAGCCCTGCAGACGTCTGAAGATCAGGCCTTTATGTTAACTCTTACCTGCGAATCATACCTACGGTGTCACCTGTTGAAGGTGAGCTACTGCCAGCAACTGGGGAGCTTGTAGTCCTACTGGGGTAAACTGCAAAGTGCTCATCCCCAGCAGCTGGCCCAGATGTGGCTTCCCCTCCTCTGCTCTTTAAGGGAGGCTCCGCAGGGCAGTGCAGTGACTGCCTGTTGTTCACGTGAGCCGCACTTGGGAGCTGCTACGGTAAGGCGGGAAATGGTTGACAGTCACGATTTGCGTATTTTCTGTGGACATGCAGAGGGCAATGTAATATCCCTGTGACCAAACAGCATCATGCTGCAATCCCAGAGTGCACGCACACGAGAGGCGGGGCAGGAACAACATACCTCTAAACATACACCATCGTTGCTCATGACCCCAGCACCCCCCTCATCCTAAGTGAACTGATTCTAGCTAGAGGGAAAATGTTATATATTTGACTATTTGTAGCCTGGGAAGTACAACCCACACTTGTATATATAGCTTGGAAAAGGAGGAGGTGTACTATACAGTTATCCACGAGCAGATTTAACTTGCCAACCAGCAGTCACCAAACAAATCATTCTCTGGGTGTCCTCATTGACCTTGGTCGTATTACATGGTTAATTTCCCATGGAGGAGCTGTTCTTGAACAACTTTCCAGTTGTCTAGGAACAAACGGGATTTTTGCTAGGCGCAGGTCCTGTTGTTATAATTTAACGTGTCTTGCTGTGGTTGTTAATAATTCCATTTTCTATTGTTTCGTTTTATTTTGTTGCTTTTATACTCTGTATGAGTGACAGCGTGGAAGTAAAGGACCTGTGTCATTTAAAAATAAATCTTTGAAGTGAACCGTTTAAGAGATGTAGAGAACCTTTAAATCATTGTTTTGCTCTTTTGTACTCTCAGAAGTAGTTATTCCAAGTTTTTGCAAAGGAAGATCCAGTTGCCTTTCCCTGTCTACTTCCTACCTGTGTGTATGTCCACAGTGAAGTCTCAGGGGTCCTTTAAAAGGAGGCCTTTGTGAGCCACTGATTAAACAGCGCAGGAAACTACAGTATATTTTCTCATTCAGGAGAGTTCCTGTTCTGTTCATTTCGTTTCAATTTCAACAGTTAGGCATCTGGCTGGAAGGAGCTTTCACTTTATGAAAGGACGCTCGTAAATCAGCAAGATTTTTTGTCCCTTCTCCATATTATGTGCCGTCTCATTGAATACAAACAAGGAGGTTAATTGGAAGAGAGATGGAGGAGAAATTAAACAGTTAGAAGCAAACGGAAGTTCCCAATAGAAAGCAAAGAATATTCTTCATTAGTCATCTTACTGTCTTCATAAAGTTTTCATGCTTTCATAAAACCATAGGCATTTTGAGAGTAAAATAGGTTATGAGTTTAGAGTATTCACTGAGCACCCAACTACCTGAAGGGATTCCACCCTGATATTTTTATGAGCGTGTTTGTACTTTCCTCTCCTTATGAATCATGTATTCAGTGAATTCGGCATATTCATCCTCAGGTTTGTTGTCCCAAGTCCTTCTTTTTTCTTGAGTTAGAATTTGACTAGTGATGTATGCAGATAAAAAAATGAAACAAAGGGAAATCCACTTGTAGCATTACTATGATTAAAATGAATATTTCTCCCTTCCTCCCCAAAACCCACTTAGGATTGTTGGACCCTTTCATTAATAAAGAGAAGTTACATGATTGAACCACATGAAATAAGCGCCAGCAATGATTACTGACATGGTTTAGTACTAAGAGCGCCGGCATAGATGCTCAAGTAGCATAATGTCATCCTTTGTAAGCGAACATGCGTAATTGGGCAAATGATTATCATACTCATTCTCCTCTCTTTGTTCTTCATAAGATCGGAAAGATGTAAGGACATTTAGAGGATCCAGAAGCTAGTTTAAAAATATTAAATATAAGTAAGTGGTTTCTAAATAATAGTTGACATAATTAGAATGTTATTGTGGCATTTCTGTATGGAAAAGCTTCAACAGTTCTGTACTGTGAGAGCTGTGGTGGTTCAAGGTCCGATCTCTGAACTGGGAGATACTTGGCCTGATTCAGTAAGCTCACCATTTGTAATGAATTTAACTGGAACCGGAATCTGTAAACAGGCAAAGGCAACTCAGTTGGTTTGGCTCTCTCTTTTCTTCTTGCTTAGGAAGAGAGGGGCCAGTTATCTGATTGGCCTGTGCTTGGAATTAATGGGGCACAGAAGCAACATAAATATCACGCCAGCCTCTACTGAGCACATGTTTGGAGGCAGAATCCGTAAAAGTGCAACCCTAACTAAATATCCCGGGCCCTAAGCGCCAAATTGTGAGTAGCACCAGCCGGGACCTTCTCCAGGAAATACTCTCTTTAGCAATTGCTGGAGAACAGGTGCCCCTACAAGCATCTATTTGTATTGGAGAGCAGGGGAGGCTGTAGATGAGACTGTGACCCAAAGGGTGGGGAAGGGGGAGATTGGATAACAGCTGCTTGTTATCTACGCGGGCGGGGGTTGTTACAAAGGTGAGGAAGGCTCAGATCTCTGTGGATAGCGAATCCGCTTCTGGAGGCTGATCTGCATTTCCCATTGCCCCACAGACACAAATGGAGAAACTGGGTTTACATTGTTTAAAAGTTGCTTAGGTCCACAATTACTGAGCCTGCTCGTCTGGAGCCTGTGCTCCGCAACAAGAGGGGCCGCGATGGTGAGAGGCCTGCGCACCGCGATGAAGAGTGGCCCCCACTTGCCGCAGCTAGAGAAAGCCCTCGCACAGAAACGAAGAGCCAACACAGCCATAAATAAATAAATAAATAAATAAATAAAATTAAAAAAACAAAGTTGCTTAGGTTGGAAACATATTTAAATGGTGGAACAAGATCCCAAAGGAATTTTCGAGTCTCCGTTCCAATAAGTATTAGCGCAATAGCATAATTATGTAGGTGTGAATTGGGAGGCGTTGTTTTTTGGGTTTTTTTCCTTTCTGTTAGTTAGAGGAATGTTTTAGGAGAGGAGTGTTTTTTCACTTCTTTGCATCCGCAGAGTATCTCAGGTTTAAGAGCTTTTGGAGTTTGAATCTTTGCTACATCATTTACTTGGTGTATGACCCTGTGCGAATCATTTAACCTCTCTGAGTATGTTTTCTCATAGATAAATATTATGTACCTCAGAGTTGTTAGGATCAAATGAAATGCTAGAATGTAAATCACTTATTAAAGTGCCTAGCAGTGTTCACTAGAGTTTTTATTTTGTTTTTGAGTATAAGTGAGTCAAACTGTAACCCAGACAACGTTTTGGGTGCTGAAATTTTTTTTTTTTTTAAACGGTAAAACAAAATGGTTATCCGAGGAATTTGCTTTAAGGAGTTAATGTAATTTCCATTTCATTGTTATAAAGGGTGACCTAGTCTCACACTGACTATGGCTTAACAAGAGGTTAATATGTTGGGGATGGCGGTTTTAAAACCACAGTGATGAAAGACAGGTGGAGTCTGTTGTGATATTTTT